GTTACAAGTCAAGAAGGTAGGAGAAGCTCCTCCCACAAGTGTGATGCGCCCGTTTCAAATCTCTCCGCAGTCGAAAGAAGAGTTCACTGGAAACGCTCCTTGTTCCGCTTCAAGGGATTCCCACTTGTGTCCGATCCCACTTTTTAAGAAAGCGACCTTTGTATTCATCGGAGAGGGAACCGAGCCCCTGAAAGCAGCCTTTGTATCCATCGGGGGGGGGGGGGGGGGGGGGGGGGGGGGAAGCTAATCCCCGAAAGTCGTATTTGTTTCCGTCGGTGGGGGAGAACTCTAATCTCCCTCTCGTGGCTTCCACAATGCTAAGTCAAAGTCGAAAGATAAAGCAAATATGTACAGAAGGGCAAGACCCTCCTCGCGCGTTGGCCGCGACGTCACGGAAAGGGTGGAACGCTATTGGATGCGGAGGTGGCGGAGGGATATCTGATTCCCTTTGAGGGGCATTTGCCGCTACCTTCTTAACCTGTAACTGACTATAAATAAGGTTATCTTATACAAGATAATTGTATCGGTGTCATTTTTGTGTGTTTCCTGGCAATTTCACAGTGACTTCTCGCAGAAAAGGTGTGACAACGAGGTTGGGTGGTAGCGGGGTAGCGAGCGCAGTCCCGATAAGCGAGATGCGGTTTTGATAACTCATCAGGGCGCAAGACTGCAAGTGTGTGCGTACGTTGTTGAAATAAAGGCGGAAACACTGTGTTCTTATTTTCTTTGCGAGTTACCTTTTCGTGAGCAAAAATGAATGCAACGGCTGCTAAACCTTCACCAGAAGAAATAACAATGTTATTGTGAATATGCATGTTTTTATATTTTCGAAATTTGAGTCACTTCAGCTTTGCATGAAAGTGTGCGTCTCCTATTCGCAATATTCGCGACGTCTCGTTTTTAACTTTTTTTTTTTTTTTTTTAACGCACGCGGACGTTTAAAAGTTGGGAATGTCGGATGTGCAACGTCGAGCCTGATAGTTCTGTGTTTAGATTTAGGCGGACGGATGAAAACTGCAAAATAACGCTAATTAAGAAGCAATTTTATATCTTTTTGGTACAAACGACTAGTGAGCCGAGAGCAGGGTCGCTATAATGGCGAGGAGTGCTTTTGAGTACTTGTCAGTCAATGTTGCAACTAACTCGTTCATCACTAAAAATATCAAATGAAAATCACGTTATCCAGAACGTACCACATCAATTGTCACTTGCGCAGTAGACTGCGTCAATTCCTGGTCGATCTTCTGTTCTTGAGGGAGAAAATATTGAAGAAAACCACACTCACAAAGGCTAACAAACACAGTTACCATGTACTCCGTAACTCGATAAAACCGCTGGTAGTGGTACACTGTATGTAGTACGATGCTAACCGCACGACCGCAGAGAGTCCATTTGCAATCCATAGCCCCGCGGCCTCGTTGCATTCTGGCGCGTGCGCAGGTGTTTGCCGAATTTTTGCCGAACTTTCCTTCAAAAGTTCGGCATGTGCCGAACTTTGCCGAGTTTGAAGTTCGGCAGGTGCGGTCCATGACTAGTTTTAAAGGTATGGTTTCAATTATAAACCTTATGCAAAGCATAGAAAAATCCGATATCTACCCACACTACAATGATATAGGCACGTGCAGCAATATACGGCGTACCGAAAAAATGCTCAATTGGGACCCATTTCTATAGGTTTCGGTTTCTTATCGGAGCAAAGTGGCGTACCAACTTGTTCTTGAGTCGGGGGGTCAAACCAAACCCCCTTCCCCTATCCCCCCTCCCCTCCCCTCCCCCCCCCCCCCCCCCAAGCAGGGGGGCGGTGCCCTTGGTACCCCTTGGGCGCCGCCGGCCAGTGTTTGCCCTGTCCAGTGGCGGCTGTTTCAAGGGGGTGCAAAACACATGCCTTGCCCCCCCTCCCGCCCTCTGAGAACTAAGGGGGTTGCGCCCCCCCCTCCCCCTCTCTAAGAAGTAAGGGGCTTGCCCCCCCCCCCCCCCTTCCCCGGTCGATGCGCCCATGGAGGAGCGCATCTCCGCACGCCGGCTATCCCGCTCCCCTCGGCCAAAACACGCAACGTACGTGCGCCGCCAATCATCGCACGTAGGAGAGGCTAGGTAAGAAAGCTCCTCCGGACTGCCGCACCAGGTTTGCCTTTTTGACGTCGATGAAGACGCACCTTTACATGCGATGCGTGCCGGCGCAAGCACGTTGGTCGTTTTGGCCGCGGGAGGCAGGATTGCTGGTGCGGAAGTGCGCTCCAACAAGGAAATGAAACCTAGAAACGCGTCCCAATTGAGCAATTTTTCGGAACGCCATAAAATGCTGCGCGTGCCTTATATCACTGTAATATAGTTCAATTTGGTAGTTCTGGATTATTCGCATCAAGTTTGTAAATGTAATTTATTTTACATTTACAAACTTGTAAATGTAATTTATTTACTCAAAATAATAAATTACCATAATTATATTGAAGCAAATCATTTTCCTAAACCTTTGGCACAGACCACTACAGTATGAACCTTTTTTCTGTGCGATGCGTAGTTTTCGCAGGAGCGATTGGGCCCGTGTTTCCGGAAAACCCCTGTATATACCTTCATTTAAACAAACTTATAAGTAGTGATAGATGTGATATGTATATATACCAGGGTGTCGAACCGGAACCGAACCGAACCGAAAACCGGAACCGAACCGGTATTTTTTCCGGAACTGAACCCGAACCCGAACCGTTATATGTTATCGTGATGAACCCGAACCGGAACTGAACCGGAAAAAAAATAACGGTTACCGGCTCATGTCAAAACGGTTCGGCCACGCGCTGTTGACAATGAACGTGCTATCAATGCCATTTGTCTTTTAAGTGCCGTCAACTGACACACACCTCGCTTATATATTTTTCTTCTCCATTCAGTCTTAGAAATATAGACGCTGTATCCATGAATCTTGACAAACGCTGCATCCATGAATCTTGACATAGGAACCAGTATTGCGCTGGTCGTGGCTTGCACAGAAAAAAAAAATTGGACAACTGTGCAAAAAAAAAAATTGCGTCAAGGGATTTCATTTTCCTACAATCTCGTAAATCCTAAATGCTGCTGTGTGCTCATTTCATAACACATTTCTAGAACGCGCGAGTTCTTGAAGCTTGCTTCCATCGGAATGAGAAAAGGAAAGGCTGTGGAGTTTGATAATAATACATCCGGTTTCGTATAGGCATTAGGCACTTAGAAGCTAACATATTTGTGAGACAGCGAACTCTTCTATTTTAATATTTATCCTATTACGTCCTTCTGGCGTTGCGTTCGGTGAAGCGTTTTTCATACTCCGTATTTTGTTTATTGAAAATTTATTTAAGGGTCTAATTTGAGTTACCGAAGGCTAGTTCAAATAAAGAAAGCTGTATTTTCTCCCCACTGTTCCTTCAATTGCTTACACGCCGAGGTGGCGGGATAGTTAGCGAGTTCTACTTGTAAGTGGGTTTGTAAGGAGGTCGCAGATTTTACAGCTACTGCGTCGGACCCAATTAGATGAAGTCCGAATGCGTAAACGTCGGTGAGGTAGCCTTTGAGTGCACATAAAGAAACCATTCCTGGTAGAAATCCCTGAGCTTTACACTACGATGTATCCCGTTTCGTAGGTGCTGATTTCAGAAGTTTTATTTGTAATTTATTTTGATGTTGCAATTTGTCATTTATAATTTCCGAACCGTTTCGCGAACCGGTTCAGCGCCCCGAACCGGTTCGCGAACCGGTTCGCGGATCGAATTAATCGAACCGGAACTGAACCGGAACAAAATAAATTTACCTGAACCTGAACCGTAACCGAACCCGTATTTTTTTCGGTTCGACACACTGATATATACATATATACAATAATGGTAACAGGGAAACTATCAATACTAAAAATATAACGACGTTAAATAATATGAAGTAATTATTCAAAATACGAAACTCATCAAGGAAATAAGTTAACATATAAGCTCTTCACAACTTTGTTTAAATAATATAAAATCTAAAAAAGCGAAAACTTTTTTTAGTATTTTTTTATTTGGGGGGGGGGGGGGATTTATTCTAGCCCTTTATGTACAGGGTCAGTGTGGGAAGTCAGGAGCAAGTTAGTGATTTAATTGGTTAGACTTTATATAGATGACGAACCTGGCAGTTGTGAGGCGAGAAAAGATTATGTCAATTGGTTCAAAAAGGGATTCGCTGTAATAAATTGAAAAGAAAAATACAAGCGAGCAATTTTTAGTCGGTTTTCTGAAGAATTCGAACCCAATTGGGTTTATATTCAGATGTGTGACGCCTGTTTGGGGAGAGCAATGGTGATAGGTGAAACATATGCAGCTTGGTTTTGAAAAGGTTTTAGTTCTAGCGTTAGATAGTTTTGGTGTGTATTCCATAATATGCATGCATATTCTAGTTAAGGAAAAATAATTGTTTTATGTGCAAGAAATTTCGTTGTCTGAGGAACGGAACGAATGTTTCATTTAAGTAAGTCCAGTTTCCTAGATACATCACAGATCGTGCACTGTACATGCATTCTCATGACAACTTGTGGGTGAAATGCACTCATAAATATTTATACGAAGTTACACCTTCAATGTCTTGTTTTTAAATTGAATATTGAAAAAAAAAATGTTATTTTCTTATTTGCTACTGTTGATAGAGAACATAGCTTTAGCTGGTTTCTATTTTCCAACACAGATATACTGAATCTATGAAAATAAATTCTAGTCTGAAAACTAATGCGCGATTTATTGTTGGCCGTAGTAGTTGCATTTTGGAGTATTTCAGTACCCTTCCGAAAACGCATCCTTTTTTTGGTTTGTGCTGAAATACATGTATATTACACATATCTCGTACTTTATATGGATAAATCTCCACGTCCAGTACTCAGCAAGTAAGCATTGCTTCGTCGCGAAAGAAATAACGCTAAAATATTTTCTAGGATCCTGCGGACATCTATTCTAACGTTGAGCTGCGACTACGAGCATACAGCTTGTGTCACTTTCTGCCGGAAGATGTTGGACAACCTGAGAGGCAACTACGACAGCTCGTTTCACATGTAAGAGAATATTAATTGTTGCGTGTGTGTGAGTATGGATAAGGCTGGGCGAAATGAGCCGGATCAAGAGCATTCAGGCACGAGCGTTACAGATTTCATGAAGGGAGCCCCGGGCGAGTGATGCTGTTGGGAGGGTGGTTTAAATGAACATTCACTACAATTCTATCTGTACTAGAAGGGTACCAGACATTTCATCGATTGCCATTTTTGTATCGAATGGGTGGAGATTTTATCCAGCGCCGTTTCATCGAACAACGTTTAATGAAATTGTTTGACACCGTTTCATAGAATTTCGATTTACAAAATTTGTGAGCATTACAGTGTTATTAGAAGTTTTGCATATTTTCGTCAACCCGTATGGGGCTCGTTTCTGGGATCAGTTTATGCTGCTATCAAACTCGGAAGAAAAAAAAAAAAACAGGCTATTACGCGCGACACTTTTCCAGTGGGTGAACATTTAGCTGAAGACAATTTTAGCAGTGAACTAGAAATTTGTATTGCGTGATCTAAAAACAAAAATGAACGAGGAAACGCAACAGGTAATCAACCATTTTTTTTTAATATGCTATGCTCTCAGTATCTTCGAACCAACGTTATTTTCTATATATTCCAGTATTTGTTTATTTGAAAGATAAATAAACACAAAAATAAAACATTTTATCTTCAATACTTTTGTTAACAAAAAAGCTGCGTATATCTCACTAGTTTATGTTATAATTATAGACGACCATATCCAAATATAATAATGAATTATAATCGCAAATTCAGGACCCTATATTTTTTATTCCTAACCTCGGGTCCCATAGACCCGAGGTTAGGAATAAACATTGGGTCCCAATGTTTCATTGGGTCCCACTTATGAACAGCTCTTGAATTACTGCCCACCATATTGAAAAAAAACGCGATATCCCCGAGAACTGGAAAAACGTGCGACTCATAGAACACGCAAAAACTGAAATGTGGCTATTTCCATATACTCTTTATTTTTCGGGAACGTATTAACCGCAGCATTAGCCTGTAGACTTAAGGCCCGTTCACACTCTTGCAACCGAGTACGACCGAGAGGGACCACGGATGCGCTACAGCGGAGCTGGTCCTAAGAGATCGCAAGAGGCTTAAAAACCGGTCAGGTCTCTCTCGGTCGTACTCGGTTGCAAGAGTGCGAACGGACCTTTACCATTTCAAGGTACACCAACACACTAAACAAAACTACCCTTACAAACGCTCGCGTTCCTTGAATCGATGCTAGGAGGCTTTTGTAACACTGCTAACGTTTAGACATCACGTATACGAGCCTCGCAACAAAGCTAAAACGGAATGACCGAAAATACAAGTCATGGCTTCAGCTTTACATTAACACTTTTTTATCAGCTCTATCGCTTGGAAAATTCTGCACAATGTGTGGTTCGTTCTCGGTTAGAATTTGACCGAACGTCGTTTCTTGAACACCCGTACCGAGCGCCGTTTTATTGAAATTCATTCATAGAAACGCCGTTTCATCGAACGCCGTTTCATCGAACACCGTTTTTCACCGAATGTCCCTCTGAAACACGTTTTGGAACATCACCCATAGTTTCTGCTCTCGAAATTCTCTATGCTACTTTTTTTTTTTTTCTTTATCGATCGCAGCGCACTATATAAAAAGAGCTCCTGCACGCAAATTTTCAGGACATCGCTTTGCAAAACTTTCAGAGAGCAATGGCGTGCATTGTTATCGAATTGGCGTCGCATGGGCGTCGTCACCAGTTAGCGGGAGATCGTAAACCAGAAAAGCTATTGCACATTTTTATTCCGAATACTTGAATCGTACAGGATTCCGCACTCGTACCGGTCAATCGTGTTCTGCCAGGCCATCAAGCACGGCACGGAGTCCGACTTCAACTTCTTGTGGAAACACTACGAAACTGCGACTACGCCACAGGAGAAAGCGGTCTTGCTCAAGGCGCTTTCCTGCACCGGTAACCTCCAGCTGCTCGAGAAGTACGTAACTGCCTCTGGTGAAATTTATATGAGCACGCGGAGTCTCCTCTGCCTTTGTGCCAAGGAAGGTGAAAAAGAACAAAGTTCGGACGAGGTTCACCGATTCCTCGAATGCATGCTTTCCCTGCACCCTGAAAACTGCCAGTCCGTCTACTTTCTCGCAGTGCACTGTAACCTGTGGAGGATTTACGAGTCGAAGAAACGCTAGCCTGCAAACGAAAGGAGACTTAATTTTGTCCAATTTCACAATCGAAAAAGCTGTGGCGAAAAATTAAATCGCGAAATCTTGTGCCAGTGCAGTGATCCCGGAAAACAGTCTGTCAAAATCGAGAAATTTCGAGCCCGCGAAAAACAAATCGTTTACGGTACGTGAAATGAGGCTGAGCGTGACGTGAACGCGTGAAACTGCTCGGTGTCAGATCGCAGACTTCATTCCCAAGTGGAAAACCCTTATTGCAGTAATTCTAGTAGTTGTTGTTTCTTGCCTTTCCATTCGCCGAGCTCCCTCTGTAGATCTCAGCGATTGTTCGCTATATCATATCATATAGACCTTTTTCACAACTGCGCCGCCATCTTGAAATATCATTATTTCCAGTGTGGGCGAAGACATTTTTTTTCGCCCGTTCGCCATTTAGGATACGAGCGTAGCCGTCACCCATTCTCGTTTTGCCTCCCCTCTATATTTTTACTATTTGCAGGTTGAAATGCTTTATTATTTTTTCGTCGCCCATACCGGATATGCCTCCCAGGTGGCTGGGGACGAGAGCGAGCGAAAAGGTCTATATGTAGTCTATATACCTTAGTTGTTTCATATTTTACATGCCGGGCTCACAATCTACACATAAGGACTATCTTCATTCAGAGAACTACGAGTCAATATTTCAGCAGAGCAAGTGGTGATACAACCACTGCACAAACCAGCTCAAAAACGAAACCAGTGCCGGGAAACTTGGTATTTAGATGCTCCCTGTCTCTGCGGGTAAGGCACGTTTGAGCCGTACGTTTTTAGGGGCTTTATCGTTCGCTACGTGCGCTTTGCAGACCAGCAATTTGCCTTTCAAGCATACTTCTAAAATCTACTCAAAGGCTGATATTTTCATATTTTTTCGAGTTTACACACCTCACTCAGGCCTAGGAGACTGAGTTTCACCTGTATCATATCATATTCAATATCATATTCCGTAGATAAGTCTTCTTTTCATCTAACGTTTTGAAATTCGAGATTGGGTGAAACGGATAGATAATGGATTGTGAATCGCTAAGCCTCCTCTATACATGGAAACTACTGCCCGTCGACGCGCCCCGCCAAAAAGTAGACGCAATATTTGTGATAGCCTTCTGAATAGGCTATAGGATGGTGATGAAATCTTAAGGCTCCACGACCATTGCCTATAAAGTGTGTTCACTGGACGCCATATTTGCGCATTCTCTTAACGAGCTCACATTTATGGGCTGTTTAGACCTGCAATCTTAATGGTCTGGATTGCACATTGCAAGAGAACTGTACATAGAAGCTGTACATAGAAGAACTGTACACGCGCATAGCAGCCACGGAGTCAGCTATGGCCGCCAGTCAAAGCTCTGCGGGGGAAATCCGGTGACATAAGAGCAATTAAGTGTCATGTTAAGGGACGATCACACCGAGCATCCGCGATATGCTACGCAGGCTCTTGCTGCAGCTGGTAAACAAAGACACCGGGGTCGAGACGACGCAGAAGGCAGCCAACCTGCTGAACGCCATCTCTTCCACCAGTCTGTCCGGGAGCACAAGCGTGATTCGTTTCATGACTAACCATCAGGAAGCTGTTTTCAATCGGTAAGCTGAAAAGACATGGCGGCACCTGTCCGCCTACTTCAACGGAGACCAAACCTCGACGCTCGCGGAACATATCTCGAGCGGTACCTCAGTCGACGTCAAAATTATTCCCGTATTCACCTAAGTCGTCCTTGGCACCGCATGCTCGGAACTAACTTTCATTTATCGTCTGCTACGAACAACGATCCTGATTGTGTAGGACGCGCATCGGACACGTATAAACATGCGTTCCACCTTTACACCGTTGAATATAGACATTTTTTTATTCCTGCAATGCGTGAGAATGGGGTGTCAAACCAGCTCCTGTTTCGCTAGTCACTAAACCCAAGGAACCTGCACTGATGAATGTAACAAAGTAATGTAGTTGTATATCTGGTTGTGACTGCGCGTTGAAGTCATCCTTAAATCAATTTAAGTTAGACGTTTCGGCGTCATGCAAATAAAGTTTTGTTTTCTATTAATTTTATTACTGAAGACGTGCCTTAAAGACGTGACTTTTAAAACTTAATTTGTAATTTGCGTCGATGTCCTTTCTTAACCAAACAAAGAGCGAATGAACCTTCACATTGAAAGTATTTATTTTCCTTGGCATCGCACATGACTAGGACGAGAAACGTCCAGGTGCCAATTTCTCGTTTACATTGCATCGATGAAATAACGTGTAGTAATGACGAGTAACCAAATCAAATTAAGTTTGCCAACTAAGAATGAAAAGACGTTTACAATTCTCTGTAATGCCGAATTAGAGCGCAGCTCTTGAGGAGGAGGGGAAGCTACGGAGGGGAGGGTATGTCTCTCCTCCCCCTCCCCTCCTCCTCTCGTGCTCTTCACCCATTCAGCGAGAAATTTTCGCTAAATTTCCCGCTAAATTTAGCGAAAATTTCGCCTTAAAGGGGCCCTGCAGACTTTTTTTTACTGGTTTTTAATTTGCACCAAATCTGAGCGCACTGAACGTAGAAACTTAGAGAAGCTTTTCTTTTCTCAAAATTCGCTTTATTTTAAGAGTTATAGGCAAATTAAAATTACAAAAACAAGCAAAAAATAACCTCCCTCGTGACGTCCTTGGTTGCTTGAGTGTGGCCGTGCACTACAGGAGGGGTAGTGAGCTTCTCGAGTGCTCACGGCTGCCGCACTCCGTGTCGACGGCGCGAGAGGGCGTCACTAAAGCATGTTCGGGATAAGCTGTATGCAGCGGGCAGCCAGAGCGGCTCTCATTGCATTTTCTGCGCGATTAAAGACTAATTCGGCATGACACTTTATTGCTCACAAACGATAGGAAACACGGAGTAAAGATCAGTTCCGAATGGGAGCCGCTTCGCGCTGCCATACCGCGAAACGGCCAAACCGCAAGACAAAGCTTCTCGCCGAAGCCTTCGGAACGCTCGGAGCCCGTCGGATCCTCCTGTCCACACGACCGCAGCGCTGCCGCGTGCATCCAGGACCTTTCCATGTCGGCGCCTGATCCTACTACTCAAGGAGGTTAGAAGTACTAGGAGGGGGCACGTTGCAATATTGATGAAGCCTAGACATAAAAAGTTTAAACGATTTTGTGCCCAGCGTGACCGCAGATCTCTCTGGCGATTGGTGCGCGTGACATGTCACGTGTGAGATGGATGGTTGATTGTAGAAGGACTCCTTGCAGGCTTGCGCGCGCTCCGTCCGGTAGGTTTTATCAGATCGAAGTCTAGACTGTGGTGTATTCTAGTACGCCAAAGCAAGACGAAGGCTAGCTACGGTCACGTGATGTGGTCACGTTGGCATGGTAGGTGAGGAGAGTAAGGAGGAAAATGAGAAAGAGGCGAGGCGTCAAGGGAGCATGGCTTGTGAAGGCTACGCGGCCGACGTCATGCCCTCTCCTACCCTTCTATTCTCCATGCTACTACTCCTTTCTAGTATGCGCCGCCTTTTCCACCGCTTGGTGGCGGGTATGTCGACGGGTCATTTCTTGTTTCCGTACCTTATGAACTGCATTCGTTTCTTTTCTGGTCTAGAATACTGAACAAAAACTAATTTTACAAATAATTGAAACGGTTCGCGCCACCTATATTTTGTATTTTGACTAAAGAGCTTTTAGCGGCTCTGATCAGTAGTAAGCCCAGGACCAAAGACGTCACATTTTGCGCGCTTTCGGTACCGCGGGTCGCCCTCGTCGGTGGAGGAGGTTTACGCGTCGTCCGGTTAAAATATGACGCACTGATATTTAGTTACTCTCTCCGTGCCCGCTGGCTTTCCCGAACCCCAAGAGACGTGGAAACCGCAAAAAAAGGTAGACGCTTAAATATGATTGCAGGGCCCCTTTAAATATAGCGGGAAAATTTTCCTCCTAAACTTAGCGGGGAAACTGAATTGGTGTCGAGGTCACATGACTTCAATTTTTCCGCTAAATGCTACATTTAGCGGGGAAATTTTCCCGCTCAATTAAGCAGAAAAGTTTCTCTGCTAAACATAGCAGAAAATTTTCCCCGCTAAATTTAGCGTGAAATTTACCCGCTAAATTTTGCGGAAAATTTTCGCCGGTAAATTTTGCGGAAAGATTTCCTGGCTAAATTTTGCGGAAGATATTTCCGCTACCTTTAGCGGGGAATGCAACGCGCGGTTACGCCGACGGTGACGCCGCTCAACGCGAAAACGGGCGCCTAAGAGCTGCTCTCTAAAGATTGTCAATACCCTTATTATCATAGGTATGGAAGCCTGCAAGGTCTCTTCGACTCAATACTCCAATCCATCGTTGACAACATCCAACATGAGAGTGAACTCTCTAAGGTAAGGATTTGATGCAATCCATAGAGCACCGCCTTTTGCATTCAGCACCAGTGTTTTCAACGTTTATCAGTCGCAGAACGGGCTGAATTTCGACCAGTCTCGCCTTAATGTCTTGTCTGTGCGATATCGCGGTGCAGTGTCAGCAGCCACTGTTTATGTCCATTGGCCGTCCATTGGTGGGAGCCTAAAATAAGCTTTAAGATTAGTAGAAAAAATATATATATACATATATGGTTGAATCTCGTTAGTTAGAACTCGAGGGGGCTGAAAATTTGTTTGAATAAAGCAAAGTTTGAATTAACAAAATTTGACTATATATATATATATATATATATATATATATATATATATATATATATATATATAAAAGTATGCTTCCAATTAGTAACTCGCTGAGCATCATCAAGAATCCCTAATTAAGTAAACTTTAGAATGACTTGGCGCGCGTGGGAAGTGTTGTGGCGCGCAAAAGTTAAGGCTTGTGGAAACGCCGCAATGCTCGCGGAGCGAAAACGTGGATGAAAAGAAACGGATAAAGGCTAGTTCACACACTTGCGACTGCTTACGACGGTGGGGAAAAAGAAACGTAGCCGTGGGATACCTTCAGTTTCGTATATTTCCTCCTTTTTGTTTTCGTTTTCTTTTTTTTTTTTTTTTTTTTTGGGGGGGGGGGGGCTTGAAACTTGTTTTGACAATGTTACAAAGTACCATTTCTCATAAATAGTACGTACATTTAATCTCACAAATACCGCAAAACCTCCGCTCTAATGAAATGCATTTCCAGTGTCACCTTTAAGATGCTCTCGCCGTAGGAGGGTTTAAGATGTTTTCACCTACGCTGCCCACGATGCATGGACCCGCAGTATATCCCGCGATTGGAACAACTTATATGGGAATGTTTGGCCCTGACCATTCACCGAAGAGAGGCCCTGGGTGTCTTACATCCGGACGACCGTCCTGCGAACTGGGCAGACACAACCGGTGACTCCGACAGAAGCACCCCAATCGTACGGTCTCTGCTGGACTACCTGCCCCGCGGAAACCTCTGTGTCTGACCCCACATCACCCAACTCCACAGAAGGGGGCCGAAAGAGCCCGGCTTCTCATCAAAACCCACATGAAACCATCACCTACCGCCCGTCATCACCCACCAAAGATTTGAAAGCGAGGCTCCTTGGGCTACTGCCTGCGCGCGATAAGAGACCCAAGAAGGTCAAAATTGCATGATCTCTTTGGACCAATAAAAGTTACCCTCTCTCTCTCTCTCCCTTAAGGGACAGGGTCCTAAACAAACGCAAATGTGTGAACGGCCTTCACCCGCGCGGGCGCAACAAAGTTGGATGCATTTTTGAAACCCAAGAAAATAAAAAAAAAAATGTAAGACATTCACAAAATCTCTGTAATGCGAAATTAGAACGCGGCTCTTGAGGAGGAGGAGGGGACGGTATGCCCCTCCTTCTCTTTTCCTCCTGCCGCTGAATTTGTTCATGGGTGACGTGACACGAAGTGGCGATGTCATTCACCCTGCTAAATTTAGCGGGGAAACTGAATTGGTGTTGAGGTCACGCGGCGTCAATTTCCCCGCTAAATTTAGCAGGAAAATTTTCCCGCTAAAGTTAGCGGGGAAACGTTCCATAATGCAATGCGCGCAGTCACTCCAACGGCGACGCCGCTCAACCTGGAAACGGGCGCCTAAGAGCTGCGCTCTAAAAGCACAAGCTCAAACTTTTTTTTTTTTTAAATGGAATGATGTAGTGCTTTCAATTACGCACATTAAGCTTCTACCTGGAACTATCCAGAGGAGTCGGGACCAATGGCGTAATCAAGGGGAGGCTTATACAGCGCCCCCCCCCCCCCCTCGAAACTCATCATTTGGGCCACCTTTTACACCCCAAGTCATGGACGTCCCATCCACCATCAACCCCCTCTCCCTCCCCTCCCCCGAAAATAAAGGAGGACGCTTAAGAATGAAACGCGATAGCGAAACATATAAGCCCCGCTCGTTCCCGAGCCGCCAAAGCGTGTCCACGTGGCCATACAATAAAGAAAAAAGTCTGAGGACACCTAAACACTTCTTATGAGTTGTGAACGGAAAAGCATTCTGCCTGCGACGTATTGCTTCCGCCTCACATTGTCGAAGGGCCTCGTCCTCTTGCCGCTTGAAGGGGTGTCCAAACAGGACACTACAAAACGCACGACTCCGACAAATCGTGAAAATTGAAGCGGACGCGCCCGCTTAGCGCCCGCTTCAATTTTCACGATTTGTCGGAGTCGTGCGTTTTGTAGTGTCCTGTTTGGACACCCCTTGAGACGCTTTGAATCGCGATCCGCTTGCGCCTCCCGACGGTCGAGCGCGCGCTCTCGTGAAGTGGCCGCGCCGCTCTGAGCTCGGCCGTGTAGCCTCTCCGGAGTCTGCCCGTGCGGGCTCTGCAGGCTCCGCGGCCAGCTGCCTTCTCTCACCGGCGGCCGGGCCGCAGCGCCTCCGATGAGAGGGCCTCTCTGGTGGCGTTCCTTGGAAATACGCCGCGCGAGAGACAATGGGAGCCTCGTTCCTTGAAACTATGATGTGCGCCAGCCAATGGGAGCCTATCCATCAGATTTCTGCTACAGACAACAGGGTTCGCTTCATTGAGACAGGGGAAGGTGCCGTTTGGCGCGGCTTCACAAGCTGATGCCGTCGGTTCGCTCCATGGGACCCAGTTAATGCTTTCGCATTAAAAAAAAAAGTGTCTGCGTGGCCTAGTAATAAAGAAAAAAAGTCTGCGTGGCCTAGTTGGTAGCGTGTTCTGCTCGCAACCGAAGGCTCGTGGGTTCAAATCGCGCCTCCGCCTAAAATTCTTCAAATTTTTCTTTAAGGCAAATTAATTACTTTACCAAGTGAGATGATTTGAGAAATGTGGCGACCTGTAATTCGCAGAAAATGTCATGCTTTAATCACTTTAATTCCACACGTGACGTCACGTTTCACGTGAGCGTTGTTTGAAATTCCCGTGCGAAATCATGCGGCTGTGAAGTCATGGCCCTATCGACCAATCCTGGATTTTCCCATCCCGACGCCACCGACGCCGGCTTTTCTGCGGCATATCGCTTTAAATATTCCCAACTTCCTTTCCGGTATTGTTTACATCAAATTTTACAGCGAAGCTGTATGACTCATTGGTCGGATTTTTTTGTGTCAGCAAAAAAAAAATCCGCAATATCCTTGTGTGAAAAAAAGAAACGAAATTGACCAGTTCGCGATACGGCCAGCAGCCATTGGAGTCCTAGCTTTTTTTCCCCAGGGCACAGGACTTCGTTTTATTTCAACGGTCACCCTGATTTCTAAATCGGTGTGCGATTTCTAAATGGTACAGAAGCAGAACTATAAATTGTACTGCCGCAATGACAAAAAAAAGTTACCGCAAGTTTAGATAGTGTTGCGCCTTATATATATACGTATTGATTAAAGGGATACTTCAACGAAATTTGAAATATTCCCGTCGTGTTCAAAAATCGGTTGAATATGATCCACAATATCCGTAAATGACAATCGCACGTTTGTATTTTGATCCTAGTGGCTCTATTTTTCGTTATAAACGGCCCACTCTGGCAAGCGCTCGGAGAAGGCCCAGCTTAGAGCACGTGACATCCAACGCAATCGTGACGTAGGTCGTCTCAAGACGAGCAAAGCTACGGCGAGGCTGACGTCGAGAGGATGGCTTAGTCGTTCCAGCCACCGAAGCGGCTGCTTTTGTACGAATTTTGGGTGACGGGTTAATCTTCTATAATCTTCTAGGGGGACAATAGCGACTTCTGCGACACACAAAAGGGATTCTCGGGAAGAGGGGAGTTCCTCCTTCACCCCTTCTCTCGTCGTTGCCGGAGACGAGACAACCTCCGTCACTAACTGTCAAGGTTCCTAGACGAGCATTACAAACGAGGCGTTAGCGACATCCACCAGGTGCTCTTTGCTAATCGTTTAATTCGTTTTAAAATTCCTTTTCGAGACTTTTTTAACAAGATATTGGCATGTTCCATGTGATACTGCTCTTTTGAACACATATAGACCAAAAAAATGAGCACCGAAATTTTGTTGTAGTATCCCCTTAATGCTTAGTTCTATTGTCACAAAGTTGTGCTTTAAAAAATATTATAACAATAACTGCAATAATTACGTGTTTCGAATAATCACTTCGCAAAACTGAATTGCCACTAAGGCCCCAGCATCTTTTACCGAGCACCGAATTTGTTCTTGCTCTGTCTTGTCCGCCAGCCGCCACCGCAAGTCACTCAAATAAGTATACGCTGTTACACTAAGTAACAACGTCAAGGGGCGCTCGGTGCTTTTTGGGTCATTTGACTACCTTTTTTTCGTGATCATAAGTAAAAAGGTTTTTTTCCCCCAAAATGAGTCAATTCTTAATGTCAAGCGAAATTGAGATAAAGTGGAATGTTTGCGCGTCAGTAAAGCTTTGAGCTATGTACCGCAGCCACCTCCGTGGTAGTTTTTTCTCGCATACTATGACCGATTCCAGTTTACAAACATGAGATCGATGCACCAATGGATATAGTCCTAATCTCAGCGAAAATTAGCTCAGTTTTGGTTTCTAACTTGTTTCGGGTCGGCTCCCTCTTTCCGCTGGGGATAACGCTACTCTCAAAGAGAATTAGAGAGGGCCCACTGGCTTGTAGCTGGGGTAGGCGTCGTTGTATGGCATTCCGAGAGTCCGGACCTTCTTTGTGTTTTGTCGGTTTCTCTTTAGGGAGAAAAAAAAAGGGGGGTGGGATACAAAGCTGCGCCTGAGTTGTCGTCGAGCAAAGCAATAATTTAAAAAATAACCCCAATATGAAAAAAAAGGGAAACGGGAAACGGGGTTCCAGGACATTTCATCGAAGGCCGTTCCATCGAAAAAGTGGTCGTCCCACATCGAAACCTCCAATTGCTACAATTGACCGGTATTTTAAAACAAAGAATCCTAATAGCGGGAAAAGAAACGTTGCTAACAAAAAACAATAATTTT